TTTCATACATGAAGTCTTTTTGTAGATTTTCTCTACCACACCTGAATCTGAGTTAGGCAGTATTGGATAAACTGCTAGTGTCAGCATATAGCGTGACGCCATGCGGTAGGGCGACGCCTGACGTAGTGACGCCGCTGGACATAAGTATAACAATTCCACCACGTTGGTAGAAAAAAGTCATATACCCTCAAACTCTGAGCTTCATCAGTTTAAGAAGTGTACACGAACCTATGACTGATGCTTATGAGATTTGTGTAACGAACGTGTTACTGATGATCACGTGATGTGTAGGTTATAACTTCAACGATAAAAACTTAAATTAGATAAATATTTTTAGCAAACAAACATTTGAACTATTGTGTATTTCTAGTTGATTGTATTAAAGTAAAGTATTGAAATGTGTATACAGTATACATCCAGTTTTCTGGATCAGCGTCCGGTTTATACTAGTGTAAGATATATCTAGGCTCCTGTGTGTCTCTATCATCTCCTCTATGTCCATGGTGCTCGGACCCTCCTCATCTCCTCTATGTCCATGGTGCCCGGACCCTCCTCATCTCCTCTATGTCCATGGTGCCCGGACCCTCCTCATCTCCTCTATGTCCATGGTGCCCGGACCCTCCTCATCTCCTCTATGTCCATGGTGCCCGGACCCTCCTCATCTCCTCTATGTCCATGGTGCCCGGACCCTCCTCATCTCCTCTATGTCCATGGTGCCCGGACCCTCCTCATCTCCTCTATGTCCATGGTGCCCGGACCCTCCTCCTTCATCCTGACTTGGGACAGGCAGTAACCACATAGGTCACTGGTGGAGTTAGCCGGCTTTCACACCTGTAGCCAAACGTGGGTAGCCGGTGGCTACCTACAGCTAGCAATTAGTATAGCCAGCAGCCAAACTCAATGCGAGTTCAAAGCAAAACAGCTAACACTTAAAGCTAGCATACCACTCGTCTAAAAAAATAGCCGAGTTCGACCGTGCTTTCAGCCTCGGCCTTACAATGTCCTTCCGACTTCAAACACCGTCGGAGCAACCTTCTATTTGATTCTCTCGCGAAGGAGATAGCAATATAAAACGGGCAATACAACATGATGAAGAACATTCATAAATCCGGGCCTCCCACCAACGAGCATGGCATATATTTTGACATATGCGAGGCTCGCTTTGGGGGGTGCCTTAACTTATGTGAGGTTCTTCGTCTCAAGTTATACTGCCCACGTTTATCAACGTGACATGGATAAACGAACCTCCATGTGTAGGACTTAGCCTGTAGACCTACTCCGGTTAGGGAAACGTCAATGAACGGCAGTTTGAAAGTGGGTGATGAGCTTATAGCCCAAAACCGCTTCCTAACGTAAAGTACAAAAGAGGTGAGCTAGCCTCTACTAGAGATGAGCTCTCTAGTAGGAAGCCAGCTTAAATTTATATATATATATATATATTTATTTATGTATTGTAAGTAGCTCGGTAACTGGGCCTAAAATCAGCATTCGATGGCCAATCGAATCCCAAAAGTAGACCCTGCAGCCGGCCGCTTACTTTACAAAGCCAGCAGCTTAAATTGTAAGTAGCTTATACTCGGTAACTGGGCCTAAAATCGGCATTCAGTGGCCAAACAGAATGCCAAAACTAGGTACCTAGCAGCCGGTACAAGCAGCTTAAATTAAGCCTACCACTATCTACAAGAGCCTTAGCCTAAACCTACTAGAGCTAGCCTCTAGTAAGAAACCAGCAGCAGAACTCTGGCTTCAGCCTCGGACATAATTTTAATGAAATAATTATATAAGCGTATTTACACAGAATAGAGCTCGATGATGAGACCCTATCGTGAAGGTATATATATATATATTTATGTATTGTAAGTAGCTCGGTAACTGGGCCTAAAATCAGCATTCGATGGCCAACCGAATCCCAAAAGTAGGTACCCTGCAGCCGGCCGCTTACTTTACAAAGGCAGCAGCTTAAATTGTAAGTAGCTTATACTCGGTAACTGGGCCTAAAATCGGCATTCAGTGGCCAAACAGAATGCCAAAACTAGGTACCTAGCAGCCGGTACAAGCAGCTTAAATTAAGCCTACCACTATCTACAAGAGCCTTAGCCTAAACCTACTAGAGCTAGCCTCTAGTAGGAAACCAGTAGCAGAACTCTGGCTTCAGCCTCGGACATAATTTTAATGAAATAATTATATTAGCGTATTTACACAAAATAGAGCTCGATGATGAGACCCTATAGTGAAGGTTTTAAATAAAAACGAGCTAGCGAACTCGTGTTAGAGACCAAGATAGGCTGTTAAGCCACTCAGAGGTCTGAATTTTCATTTCGGCGATTATGTTTATGTTAGAAAAGTGCGGACGTTCGAGAAAGCTTATAAAAATGTGATTATTTTTTTTTTTAAATCTTTGTTTTGTGCAGATATGAACGGACGTTTGAGAAAGCATATTATTTTGTTTATGGTTTTCTAGGTTTTATTTAAATTGTTTTGTTTTTACACGCTTTTATTTAACTTGATTTAATTGGATGCGTAATTAATTTCTAAAGAATTAATTAAAATGCTCTATGTAAAATACTATTTACCGCACTATTATAACGCACATTTTTCGTGTTCATTTAGTGCGCAAATGTTTTTAGTCATGAGACTCTATTGTTAACTATTTTAAAGTATTGTATATGCCTACATATAAACCGTTTTAATTACAAGCTTCTTTGTAATCATGCACTAAAAAGAAGAAAATAGATTATGTGTATTAAATATATAATAATGCACCGCTATTTAATAGTAAAGGTATTATAAATACATAACATAGTGGCCCACGCTTCTGTTTATAGTTACTTAAATAGTGTTGCAATATTTAATGTTTTCATTTTCAAAGCATTATTATATAAAAGCTTGTAATTAAAACGTTTTTAATTATTCTTTGAACTGGCTAGCGATTCGACGCGAATTTTCGATCACTTCTAGCAGACCAATTTCTTTCAAACTTGACACGTAGATCAAAGCTCGATGTCGATGCATTGTGGAATCGAATTAAGGTTTGTTTAATTAAGTTATTCAGAATTAGCTACATTTTCCTGTAATTAGTTGGGAACGATGCGCAACTGAAATCTTAACACAAAAATCTTCGTAAGAGAATTTTTTTTTTAAAATCAAACTTTGTAGCATAATGAAAAATGTGTCCACGAATTAGGATTAAAGTGTATCAGTATAATTAGTTTGTGTATGCGCTGTTTTCTTTTTGCGCAATATAGAACATAATTAATTTTCTTCTGTTTAGAGCATAATTTTATAGACGATTTATTATAAAGTATTTCATTAATTTCTTATTTTATTTTTAAAAACTTTATTTCAAAATACCCAAGGGAAGTAATCGAGTAAAAAGCCAAGAGTTCTGTAAAGATGAATTGTCTTTCTTGGTATATCGTACACACAGTACATTTGCAGAAAGCTTCCGGCAACAAAGCTAACTGTTATGAATGGTATCTCAGTGTATTGCTCAGTGGCGTAGGCAGGAGGGGGGGGGGTCATAACCCCCCCATAGACCCCTCGGTATAAAGAAAAAGTATGAGGGGGGTGTGCAAATCGAAAGTTTCAGGGGGGGGGGGGGGTGCAAATCGAAAGTTTCAGGGGGGGGGGGGGTGCAAATCGAAAGTTTGTCCCCGGGTAAAAATTGGAACCCCCCCTTGAGACGATCCTGGCTACGCCACTGGTATTGCTATGGTATGAGAGTATGTGTGTTGTAGAATGATTTATATTAATAAAAGATTGTGGCGGTGTGACGAGGTATGTAAGGAGGTGACGAGTGAGAGTAGGATCTGGGTGATGTGCATCATGTTGTGCGAGACAGGGGATTTATTGACACAATACTACCTCCTATAAACTAGCACTCACTCACTACCAACCCAACTATCTCCAACACATAAATAAATCGGGAGTGATCTCCCCTAAACTTTCTTGAATATTCTTATATAAAACAACAAAGATGGCGACTCGGGATATAGACATGATTTTTAATCCATTTATAATTACTTTTTAAAATAGAATCTCGTAGAAAAAAGCATTGCACGCCAAGTGAACGCAAAACAAATTGTGTATAATAGTGCGGAATATTATTAGTAATGTATACATTTACATGCGTTTTTTGAAAAATCGGAAATAGCGAAAATTACTACTTCCGGTCAACGGAAAATACTCAAAATTTGAAAGCAGGCAGAGAATCAGATCTTTTACTTACATAAAAAATTTCATTTATCTATATGAAACAGTACTCAAGTTATAGGCTTTTGAAAAATTGAAAGTAGAAAATTTTCCACTTTCGGTTATCGGAAATCGCTCACTAGTTTATAGGGATCTACGATTTTGATATAATACTTATATATGAAATTTCATCGACCTAGCTGTAACGGTACTCAAGCTATCGTGTTTATAAACACACACACACACAGACATACGGACAAGATTGCAAAACTATGCTTTTCCGACTCAGGGATGTGTAAAACGTCGAGAATTGCAAAAATCTCAATTTTTTTGCACGAATACAAGACTTTCTCTATACTTCGTATACGAGAAAGTAACAATCAAAAAGACACCTACCAGACTCCGGTAATAGCAAAAACACACAAAGAAATAGATTTTTAGCTGGGGTAAACTGGAGGGTATTGGGATGGAGTGGTCTAGCGGTAGAGAGCTAGACTGCTAACCTGTAAGTCTCGAGTTTAAATCCAGGTTCAAGTCAGTAGACCATCCCTGTCCACTCAACTCTAACTGGTACCTAACTGACATTAGGGAAAGTAACAGCTGGGCATAGTGCTGACCACACTATCTCTTCATGTGCCGAGGTCACAGAAACATGTGAACTCTACTTCAATTGACTCATAGACCGCGTCAGTTTTGAAAGGGAACTTTACTTACTTTATACTTATACTGGAGGGGATATATTCAACCATTAGAAAACAGAAGATAACCATTTAAAAAAAAAAAAAAAAAGAATTCCATCTTTTCATTAGTTCCTTTCCTACTTTATTACAAAAATAAAGTAGAATTACAAATTAAAGCAGAGTCAAAAAAGACATTTTTTTTAAACATACATTAACAGGTTTTAAACTGTAGTAACCTATAGTTTTCAAACATTTTTCTAAACCTGTAATCATATCCTTTTTGAAATTTTAAAACATACATAAATATAATTAATAACCATACCTTATAGATGTAATTAAGCTAATTATAATTTGAAATTTAACACCACAATTACAAAGAACTTTAGTTACATATCATATTACATTGTATTGTTACTCTTGGTATTTTTAGCCAACACTGCATTTCTAATTAGTATTGAAATATAAATATTACAGCAAATATTGATCAAGTACTAGAAATATTGAGTTATTACTTAACCAACCTTCAGGATAGAAGAGTGTAACAGTTAAATGTATGTTTCGAGTGTGTATCTTAAAAAGGCGATATGAATATAAAATATAGGATGGGTGTGCGCATGCGCGAAGGAAAGGAAGCGAGAGGTAGATAGCGCGGGAACAACATGGCGATGTTTGGGAGTGAAGACAATGTTCCTATGAACCAATAAAATTATGGAAATTAACAAAACAAGGGTTGATTTTTGTTTTGAGTGTGTGCCATGAAAAAGGTAGGAGAAAAGCCTGTGACAAAGAGGAATTAACACACAAGGCGCACAACCAATGAGATTGGTTTTAAAAGCTTTCAAATTTAAAAGTTAATTGCCATTAGTATAAACTGTTTAAAACAAAAACAAATAACTTTTAATTTATCAACAACCCTTTCGGCTAGGTTGACAGTTATGACCTTGAACCTAGGACTAATGGATGATAGCCTTGATCTTCAACACAGTACCCAAAGCCAGAAGCCATTACAAAGTGTGACTAATACAATCCAGTCTACAGCAGTTTAAAAATAAGTGTTCAAATCTCCAAAGGAAAAAGTCCTCTGACAATGTTCTTCACAATATGCCTGTTGTCTTTAACGATGTTCAGGACGATTTGTCTGGCAGTCTTCAAATGCTCCACCTTTACACTGAGTGGCATGGGCTCCCTATAGGTTGGGTCAGGATCTGAGTCAATACAAAATTTAGGTTTTTCTTTAAACTCAAAAAGAAAATAGAAAACATGACAATTTTTTTTCATTATTTAAAACATAAAACTCCAAAATTCAGAACAATCTTTCTACCAAAATCTAGAACAAACAAAAATTGATTTGACAGATTTGCAACACAAAGTTGATGCAACTCAGATTCTTTATCTACATTTTTTTAAATTCTGAAAACTTAAATCAATCATCAAGAAGGTATTAAATAGTTTTTTATCAACTCAAACTGACCTGTTTATAAGGAGTCACTTTAAATAATTTAAACTAGGTTGTATTAAGTTACCCTTTTTACATTACAATCAACTGAGCAGATGAAGATTTTGTCTAATTCAGTGACCACATTTTATGAAGGGGTAGTGTGGTCAGCAGTATGGCCAGCCACTTTTACTCTAACTAGTCAGGTACCCATCACAGCTGGGTGGACTCAGGGACATTGTATAAACTCAAGTCAGAGATCCGAACACAAGACTTTCAGGCTAAGCGTCAAGCACTCTACCACCCAGCCACACAGTCCCTTTTTTAGGTTTTTAATTACTGAATCCATGAGCAAGAAGCTGTTGATAAAAAAAAAACAGCTTACCATTAACAGCGCAGGCTGTATACAGTACTACCCAGGCTGCTCCTGAAAAAAGATCCTTAGGGGCGGGAAAGTCTCGAGAGATACCCAAAATATTCGCCAAAAAAGCGTAAGCATTTCTATAGACCACCTACAGAAAAAAAAAAGATTATTATGTTTGAAATTTTAATTTTAAAAAGTATACTTTTTGTTCTAAATATAGAGTGAGACCCGAAAGATGCACAACAGAAAAAAAACGCTACAAATATGCTCAACGGAAAAAAAAGCGCAAACATAAAAAACCACACAGAAAAAAGCGCAAAAAGAAAGAAAGCGCAGACCGAAAAATGCGAGTACAAAAAAAAAGCGCACACAGGTAAGTAATGCCATTTTCCTTTCAATTTAAAGGGTAAAAATGTGTTTCCTCACCTGCATCCAACTCCCAACCGTAGCACAGCGCGGGCTTGGTACAATTTTCATCCGCAGGTAGTGCTCATCCTCGTGCACGCCCAGCACCCACGCTACGACAACATAGAACTCTTCAGGCGTGAGAAACAGATTTCTGTCCCAGTTCAGCAACAGGAAGTAGCGCAGTAGGAAACACAGGAACCCCATGCGCAGTCCGTACACCTTGAAGTAGGAATTCTCTGTGGCAAGACGTTCAGATTTTCATAAAAACCCCAGTCTTAAAAGAAATTAGTAAAATTACCAGTTACAGTAAAGTTGATGTTTTTTGCCACTGGGATATGAAGTCAGCACTTTGCCCAGCTGCTTTAACTTTACGTAACGTAAGTCAGGTACATATCAAAGCTGGGTGGATTCAGGGACATCCAATGGACTTCAACACAGCATCAAACTAAGCCCGTCTACTGCATTTAACCATGAATTTACCCTGGTCTAAAGCCCACGTCTACTGTGTTTAAACATGAATTTACCCTGGTCTAAAGCCCAGGTCTACTGTGTTTAACCATGAATTTACCCTGGTCTAAAGCCCACGTCTACTGTGTTTAACCATGAATTTACCCTGGTCTAAAGCCTACGTCTACTGTGTTTAACCATGAATTTACCCTGGTCTAAAGCCCACGTCTACTGCATTTAACCATGAATTTACCCTGGTCTAAAGCCCACGTCTACTGTGTTTAACCATGAATTTACCCTGGTCTAAAGCCCACGTCTACTGTGTTTAACCATGAATTTACCCTGGTCTAAAGCCCACGTCTACTGCATTTAACCATGAATTTACCCTGGTCTAAAGCACAAATCTCCTGATGCTGTATGATCATCTCAAAGAGCTGCTTGTTCAGGTGATATCCATTTTTCCTCACCTGTGCAAGGGAGGGAACCCAGCCATCATCACTTTTTACAACCTGCAAATCCAGAAAAAAACATCTAATTATCAAAAAGCCAGAATTAGCTATAATTATAAAGAGTAAGCAAATTAAATAGCCAGAAGTTAACTATAAATGCCATTCAATGATTACTAGCTTTACAAAAGAAATAAATGTTTTTAGAAATATTAAACTTTGTACATTTAGTTATATTGTTTTAATATATTTCTGACCAGTTTAAGAAGAACTTTGTAAATGAGGTCCTATTCAATCATTTGTATAGCTTAGCTTCTAATGCAGAGTTCAGCTTTTCAGTCAATGTTACAGCATTATAAATGCTGCTTTGATTGGTCAGCACTTTATTTAGGAAATCATAATAATAGTTCTACAGTAATTAGAGCGATTCAGCTTTCTGTCATTTTGTTTAACAAACAGATTCCGTTGCTACTTTGAAATTTAAATATCAATTCACATGGTAGATTCCTACGTATAGGATTAATTAAAACAATCCATGAAATTAATTTCTACTTTTAAAGATTGAAATCTTAATGCCAGCAATACAAAAACTCTATATAATTAATTTTAGGTATGCAGTTTGTAAATTGTGTAGCTGTGTATGCATGTGATATAATTTTGGTCAGCTATATCAATGAATGTGCTGGAGTGCTTTAAGTCCAGAAGAAATGTGAAGTGTGATTCATAAAAATTACTTTTTACAAGAACCTTTGACCAAAGTGATATCATGACCCAACTGACACCATGACAAAGCAGCCATCATGATTGTTGTGTCATCTTGACCCAAGTGTTACTGAAACCTAGATGACCCCATGACCCAGCTATAATGACCCAGCTGACCCCATGACCCGGCTATAATGACCCAGCTGACCATATGACCCAGCTGACCCCATGACCCAGCTGACCCCATGACCCAGCTGACCCCATGACCCGGCTGACCCCATGACCCAGCTGACCCCATGACCCAGCTGACCCCATGACCCGGCTGACCCCATGACCCAGCTGACCATATGACCCAGCTGACCCCATGACCCGGCTGACCCCATGACCCAGCTGACCCCATGACTCAGCTGAATCTTGACCCCATGACCCAGCTGATCCCATGACCCGGCTGACCCCATGACCCACCTCCATCTCTAGCATCAGCTTGTGTGGTGTCCGCCCCAACTCTAGGACTGACTGTTTGCCGCGGGGCAGCAGCATCTTGTAGACGTAGGAGCGGAGGGTTTGAAGGGCTACCTCAGCCACAGGTCTCCCTGGTGTAGGGTCTTCTAGAACCTGCAGGTCAGAGCCAATGACATAATGAGGTCAAGGACAGTGTCAGCAACACGTGGAGGTTGCAAAATTAAAATAAAATGTGGAGTATGGAAAACATAAATCAAGCTATATTTATGGTAATAGAAAGAAGTTTAATGAAATTTATTTAAAGATGTTTTTTTTAGCATTTATCAGAGTCAACTGTCACAGCTTAATCTCAACTTCCAATAAACAAAATCTCACCTGTAACAACACACCTGTGACAACACAATCTCACCTGTAACAACACACCTGTGACAACACAATCTCACCTGTAACAACACACCTGTGACAACACAATCTCACCTGTAACAACACACCTGTGACAACACAATCTCACCTGTAACAACACACCTGTGACAACACAATCTCACCTGTGACAACACACCTGTGACAACACAATCTCACCTGTAACAACACACCTGTGACAAAACAACCTCACCTGTGACAACACAATCTCACCTGTGACAACACAATCTCACCTGTGACAACACACCTGTGACAACACAATCTCACCTGTAACAACACACCTGTGACAACACAATCTCACCTGTAACAACACACCTGTGACAACACAATCTCACCTGTAACAACACACCTGTGACAAAACAACCTCACCTGTGACAACACAATCTCACCTGTGACAACACAATCTCACCTGTGACAACACACCTGTGACAACACAATCTCACCTGTAACAACACACCTGTGACAACACAATCTCACCTGTGACAACACAATCTCACCTGTGACAATACAACCTCACCTGCCTGTGCCAGTAAGTCCCTTGGTGCATGGACACGATGGTGCTGGGCATCTTGCCTGACCTTATTCCATCTGCGATCAGGTTGAAGATGTAGCCTGTCTGTTCTTCCTCCTCGTCCTTTAGAGTCAGTGAATAGAACTGCCGCGCGTGATTGACAGCGTCACAAAAGCTTTGATTCTGGGCCTGGATAGAAAATTAACAACTGTGGGTAAAAACACTGGAGCTTTACCATATATTCTTCAAGTTTTTTTTTTATACCTGTATTGACATATGTTAATTTTTCATCTAGGGTAGTAATACTAGCATAATACCACTTTACTGCCATCTGCTACTAAATTTGTACATTAACTGCATATTATATAATTATATATATGTATATAAATATATGTATATATATATATATATATATATATATATATATATATATATATATATATATATATATATATATATATATATATATATATGTGTATACATATATATATGTATATTTGTATATTTATATATATATAACAATAAATGAAAAAAAAAAAAATATATATATATATATATATATATATATTATATAGGCCTGTAAATCTTGATTATAAAAGATGTTTACATTAGCATTTTATTAAATTAAAGATGAAAGAAAATGTTGAGCTTACCATCAACGTACCAAAGAATTCACACCTCTCCACGCACCCGTACCCATTAATCAAATAGGCCAGCCTTTCAAACTGACCAAAATACTGACTTTTGAACACTGGGTTGGATAAGAGAAAGGGTAATGTGAAGTCATTGCCCCCTATCACAGCCAACTCTACCAAGGCCTGGTGATTTGGAAGCTGGGGAAACAAGAAAGTACTCCCTATTTAGACAGAGGTGTGTGTCCCATGCCTGTGTCTGATCATGTAACAAGAATAGAATCTTCTTAAAGTAGGGGTGTTAGGTTACTGGTAGTTGCTATATCAAAATGCAGACATTCCTATCTTAGCATATGTATTTGGTTGTAACTGAGGTAATTTCCTAAGCCAGGACTAACCTATCACAAAACCTGGTCCTACCATATAAATGTTTCACATTAGAACCTGGCAGTCCATGGGGTAGATGATGTAGAGTTCACCTGTTTCTGTGACCTTGGCATGTGAAGGGATAGTGTGGTCAGCACCAGGACTAGCCACCTTTAATTTCCCTAACATGAGTCAGGTAACCCATCAGAGCAGAGTGGCCAGATGAACTCTACTCTGGTATCTGAACCCAAGACTTTCAGGTTAGAAGTCATATGCTTTACCATCCGACCATGCTGTCACTACTCTCACCATAAACCCAAACACTAATCCTGACCTGAACACTTAATCTTATATTACAATAGTAGGCTACAAATAACCTAACATCCCTATTTTTAGAACATCTACTGCCATTCATGCATAAAGGGAATACTCAGTAAAATATAACAAGACTCTCCTAAAGAGATGCTCTTAAAATATTGTGTAAAATGATTTTAACTATATTAAACTGGATCTTTTTTTTCATTGATTTTTTGGTTATATCAAATGGGATTTCCTCCAACACAATAGTGTATTGTGTTTTAACATATTATGCGCAATAATGACTCCTGTCAACCTGTTTTGCTATTATAATTTGCTTCCATAACCTTTGTCCATCCAAGAACAGACTACAAGGCAGCAGTTGTTTGATTTTGGACTTGTCTCTCCAAGATGGGTTGCTGTCCCTAGCTAAAGAACCCCATCAGCTCATGGATCCGAACTCAGGATTGTTGGGGTTAACAATCTCCCACTCAACTATGCCATCCCTTATAAAATGACAATAACAAATTTTTATAACAAGAAAACTTATGTAAATGAATACTTGAATGAAAACTTCTACAAGAGAGCTACAACATACTTTTAATAACCTCATAATACTCTCCGTATGTATAACACCACAAATAAGTTTTTCAGGACGTTGGGGTTTTAAGGTGTTGAGACGTAGCCCAAGATCATTGTGGATGTCGAAATAGTCAAGACACAGATAAACACAGTTTGGGAAGATACAGAAATCTGTGTCGTTGCTGAGGATTGCGTAGACCCTGTCATCTTCAACCATACGTTTAGCCAATGCAAAATCTGCTTCCCCTGCAAGTGATATCACTATTAAAATCATGACGTATTTATCATGAACATCACCGTCATTATCGTCTTTATCATTATTATCATATACACCTTCATAATTAACTTTATCATCATCAATGCATCTTTATAATGACATTATCATCACCATCATGAAATTATGATCACTAACATCAACTTCATCATCACCTTAATAATTTACATAATCGTCAACATAATATAATTAGTATCATGTATGTCACTACTACACTTGATACAATAACATAAACATCAGCCTACTTTGATATTACATATAACCTGTACATATACCTCAACTGACACACCTGTGTATACACACCTTACCTGACACACCTGTACACTGGCACACTTGTATAAACACCTTACCTGACACACCTGTGTATACACCTTACCTGACACACCTGTGTATACACCTTACCTGACACACCTGTGTATACACCTTACCTGACACACCTGTACACTGACAGATCTGTACACTGACACACCTGTACACTGACACACCTGTACACTGACACACCTGTACACTGACACACCTGTACACTGACACACCTGTACACTGACACACCTGTGTATACAACTTACCCCCCTGACACACCTGTACACTAACACACCTGTACACTGACACACCTGTACACTGACACACCTGTACACTGACAAACCTGTACATCCACCTTACCTGAAACACGCAGGTGAATCTCACACCCAGCCTCCTGTATTGTCAAGACATTCTGTACTTCCTGCAGGCATGGGCGTGTCAAATGATCTCTGTCAATTTCAGACACAGGTATCTACAACATACAACAAGAAAAGAGAAAAACATACAAGTATAGCTAGCTTCTAAAATATACAATAAAGAATCTAAACAAATATATATATATATGTAAATGTGTGTATATATATATATATATATATATATATATATATATATATATATATATATAATCACGTTTTTAAATCTAAATACTGATTTAACAATACCGGGCATTTATTTTTTTTAAGCTTTGAAAAACTACTAGGCATTTTTTTCTATAAGAATCAATTTTATAACAGGTTGAATAATTTCAAGAATAAAAAAAACACATCTTTATCTTTAGAGTTATTAATCATAATACATTTTATCACTGTACCAAAGATACCTATTATAGCAGTATTAATTAGAGTAAATCAACAGGAAGGGATACAAACCTGACCACGCAGATATTCAAAACACCTCACCAGTCTCCTTTGCTCTTCAAAATACCGCTTCTTCCATGTATTCAGTTTGTGCTTAGTTGAGAAGTGCGCGCTGCCTTTGGCTCCATCGAGATAAAACACCAACTCAATATTAACGTTTCTGAATTCCTGAATTAAATTTGTCAGGAACTCATGCATCAGCTTGTACTCCCCACCTGAGAATACCAGGTGTGGGTTGCCTGTCACTTCAATCAGAGACTCGCGCAAACACCTGGCGATAAAGTGCTCCCAGCAGTAGAAGTCCACGAGAAGTTTCATCCCACCTGGGTACTCTTTAGCCACCTGGACCAGGTCCACCTCTGTTAAGACAGAGCTTTCATTGGCTTTCAGGTATGACCACAGCCTGCTCACACCCATTTTTAGAGCTTTTCAGTTAGTTTATGTCATGTAGGTTTCAGAACACCTGGGGAGGAATGGTAAGATAGGTTTACCTGGGGAGGTATGTGAGGTTTACCTGGGGAGGTATGTGAGGTTTACCTGGGGAGGAATAGTAAGAAGTTTATTTAGAGGGATGGTGTGGTCAGCACTAAACATAGCCACCTTAACTTTTATTTCAGGTACCCATCAGAACTGGGTTGACGCAGTAATGTTCTAGATCTAAAGTCTAGTATACACTCAAAGATATCCAAACCATACCGTCCCATGTCATTTACTGATTCAACCTTTCACTTTCATATTATTGGTCCTTTAATTTACTAAACTGTTGCCTTATGTGACATAATATGGCCTAAATTAATAAATAATACTAATACTTGGCCTGATATATTCTCAAAGGGGGAGGTTACACCTTTTAATTTTCTATTAAAAAACCTGATTATAATAGGCCTATTAATATTATAATTTATAAAAACAAACAACACTATTATTTCACTTTTTGAAAGTCTTATATACACTAAAAACGGATCAGCTAAAAAAAAGTCCAGCTGTCAATCCATCAAATTCAAATGTGGCAGATCTCAACATTTTGCTTTTATTCAAAGTTTGAAAATGTCTTCCTTAGAGAGACTAATAGATGTAGATCTAAATTTTAAAAAATAAACCTGGAGTGATTTTCCCTAAACCTTCTCAAATATTCTTATATAACACTACGGGGGATGGCAACTCAGGATATAGACAATATTTTTAAGCCTTTTTTAATTACTTAAACTTTTTAAAATAGAATAGAATCTCGTAGAAAAAAAGAATTGCACACCAAGTGAACGTCAAACAAAATGTGTATAATAGTGCGGAATATTATTAGTACTTTATAAATTCACATGCGTTTTTTCAGAAATCAGAAATAGCCTAAATTACTACTTCTGGTCAACAGAAGTCACTCAAAATTTGAAAAAAGGCAGAGAATTAAATCTTTTACTTACATTTACCTATCTGAGATAGTACTCAAATTATAGGCTTTTGAAAAATTGAAAGTAGAAAAAGTTCCACTTCGGTTCAGGTTATCAGAAATCGCTGAAAAGTTGATACGGATCTACAAATTTGGTATAATACTTATATATGAAATTTCATCAACCTAGCTGTAAGGGTACTCAAGTTATCGTGTTTACAGACACACAGACAAGATTGAAAAACTGTTTTCTGACTCAGGGAGATGTAAAACATCAAGATTTGTAAAAATCTCGATTTTTTTTTTTGCACGATTACAATACTTTCTCTATACTTTGTATACGAGAAAGTAAAAAGTAGAAGGCCTTGCCTTACTGCTGCTACTATATAACTAAGTATCTTAAGTAAGACTATGTCACAGATAAGGCCTAAGTCCTAAGAATTGCACTTAGTGCCACTTAGCTGACTTAGCCCTAACTAAGTTAGTGTTAATTATTGTGCTACTTACTTAGCTTCTAGATTCTAGTGGGCCTACCCCTTTTCTGTGATGGAGATGTATTGCAGTATAAAGTATTATGGTAATCTATCATTTTTGGTACGTAAAATCACCCGCGGCTGTTAATGTACGAAAAATGTACCTCATTGTCAAGGATTTAATAGAAGTATATTGTGATATATTTATGTCAAATTTTATAGAAAAATGAATAATAAACCAAATCAATGGCTAAATATATCAATAGAGGCCAGAAATTAACTTTAAACAGCTGAAATTGAGAGCAAGATTTACTACATAAACAGCAGCTATTTGTAAAAAAAGAGTGGCTTCCCCTGAATCTTGTGCTATAAGTTTACAAAAAAAAAAACTTAAACAAGATGGCTGCTATAGTAAATAAATGAGCATGGTTGTATCTGTTAGAAACATCGCTAGTCTTCATTTATTACTGAAAAGTTTTAATTCAATTGTTTAAAAACACTAAAAGTTACATAAATGAAACAACTTAACAAGGAAACATTTTTGTATTTTTCAAAACATAAATCCTCCTCAAAATATGGAATAATTATTAAAATTTAAGGAGTCACCTGTTTTTCACATTAGGCCTACTAGTCGCGGGCGATTTTACGTAGATACCTATATCTAGACCTAAAACCGAAAACGATAGATTACCAGTAAAAGGCAGTATTATTCACAAAAGCCTGTGACTGTGAGTTACTCACACGTGAGTGTGACAAATGGCCAATGTTATTTTTTGTTTTTTTTTAATAGGAGGTCTCGACTCTCGAGGCCCACACCTGGACACCTCACAAAGAAATATTTAATTTTAATTTTAAGGTAATCCCTTAGTTTAGCGTCGGTTATTATTCCGGAATCGTATAGCAGTAAAAAACAGTAAAACAATGCCAAAGTCTGTCACACACTTCCCGAATTCACCGGAAGTACTGTAAACCATACTTTATTTGGCGTCATCTTTTATTTTTATACAGAATGTTTAAATTTTGGATAGATTTATTTTTGTAATCATTTTTACATTTTGTAATCATTTTTACTATTTTTGTAATCTAGATTTTTTTACTTGGTCTAACAGATAGATATCTATCTAGATCTAATTAATTAATGGTCGCAAATCCGCTGCAAGCCAAAAACATTTAATTATTACATTTGACTTCATTATTTATATTTATATTAATATATTTTTTTATTATTTTTAGATCTACTAATTTAAATCTACTATTATATTTATTCTTGTTTCCTTTAGTCGATTAAACTTAAAAAATTAAAACATTAATTTACTACAATCGACTTTCAATTTATTTATATTTCAATGTTCAAATAAACCATGGTTTACCGTAACTCTAGTTACCGAAACTCAACAAACATTACCCGATAATTTCCGACGCTAAACTAAGGGATTACCAAATTTAAATTTAGGCAGGCCTATTGATTAGATTGAAATTACTAGAGTAGATCTGGCTACTTTACCAATCATAGCAGACTAAAAAAAAAAATCTAGTTTTATAGTTAAAATTATATTATAGTTTTAGATCTAGATTCTTTCTACTAGATTCTAGTAAGAACATATTTTCTAGATTTATCTTGACTTCTCCTAATCCTAAATATAAACTAGATCTAGATCTAGTAAAAATCTATAGGATCTAGATCTAGATCTAGAATAGATCTATTTGATTTTTTTAATGGAGGCGAGCGAGTTGACGAGATTCCTTCCATAATATTGTTGACATGGAATAAAAACGTGCTTTTTAGATTTAGACCGTAAAAAAAAAATAAAAAATAAAAACTTAAGCCTAAAATTAATTTAGAAATTTTATATTTTTAGAATAAATGCTATAAAAGTTGCAAATCCAGAGAACTTGAAAATAATTTGTTGAGTTTAAGGCTACATTTCTATTTATTTTCATCAAGCCTAAGTTAAAACCGGATGTTTCACTTTCGTAAGACAAATATTGATTGGCTGTACAGTAACTTAGTGATCGATAACTATTTGTTTACAAAACTTTGCAGATCAAGTTTTTAAATAATAATGCAAATTAAAAACCCCATGACCTAGTTTTCTATTTTTAGCTTACAATGTGTACAATAAAATCAATGTCGGCCTATCCAATAGCAGGATGCCATTGTTTATGTCGCCATTACACGTGAAAACCAAATTGTTTTGGCTTGTTTTTAAATTTTCAATTAGTTACCGAAAATTTTTAAAACATCAAATAGACCCAATCTTTAGTAAAGTCCGAAATAAACCAGACAGACAGGATTTTATAACCATATTAATTGTAACTACGCCGTGCCTGATTTTTAAACTAATTTATACACCTCTCAAATACCTTTGAGAGTTTTCTCGCTCGTGTCCATTAGGATTAGCTGCGAAATTTGTGCTGTGAATAGATTGTTTACAAACAGACAAGTGAACTTCCGGATATTTTGATAAAATAACTTCGCGATTTTATAAAAAATGCAATTTTTATAATACCAATTAAAAAATTTAATTGTAGGCCTATAGGGCCTAGTCTATACTATAAATAGGGCTCTAAATTTAGAAAATAAATAATTTTCTTTAAATGTATTGGCCTAATAATGAAACAATATTTAAATAAATAAAAAGAAAAGCGTGGGAAAGTTCATGACGGGCAGTTTGTTATGTAGAAAGCTAAATAAAAAAAAAATACATCAGAAAGCAACAACTGTCGTTTATTTATCTTGTGTGTGCTTGATACAAACCCAGGAGAATCCCAACCATTTTTCTCCCTGATGAGTGGGGAAGGGTGGGTGTGTACTGCCCTAATTGTCGTTCAGTCACATAAAATATGTACCATACTTTAACCACCTTTCCCAAACCTGAAGGTTTCAAGCACTTACCACTATATAGCCTTTATGTCTTCAAAATATACTTCACATCTCTTCTAGGCAGGACAAAACTAGATATACTTATGGAACAATACTATTCTTCTTCATTAAGCTTACTTAAATACAGAAATTAGCCTGTTGTGCAGCTTACTACCTAATTAAGAGCAACCTCTGTAAGCATTGAAGCAAACCACCTTAGTATAAGGGCTGCACATTTACAGGGCAGCATGTATTATGTTTCATATTATTAAAACAGTGATTTTTAACCTTTTTGGAGGTACCAAACCCCACCAGTTTGATATGTGAATTCACAGAATCCTTCATAACAGTATATGGTCCTCACTAAAAAAAATCTTATCATCAATCATATGAGTATGGAATGTGTCTTGACCAGAGACTGTCTTAGAACCATTGCATTAGAACTACTAAAAACAACATCTGGAATAATTTTAACAAGCTCTACCATATGATGTAAAATCAGGCCCCTAGTACACATGCCACCACGAAAAAATTTTACCGCCCCGCCGAAAATTTCAAGTGCCCCCCCCCACCCTGGAGCAGAGGCGTAGTGACCCTTCCCGGCGCCTGGGGACATACTTTCAATTTGGCGCCCCCCTCGGGATCAAATTTTAGATTTGCACCCCCCCCCCCCTCGAACTTTTCATTTGCACCCCCCCCTCAAACTTTCGATTTGCACCCCCCCCTCAAACTTTCGATTTGCACCCCCCCCCTCGAACTTTTCATTTGCACCCCCCCCCCTCAAACTTTCGATTTGCACCCCTCCCCCCTCGAACTTTTCATTTGCACCACCTCCCCCCCTCAAACTTTCAGTTTGACGCCCCCCTAAGGTTGGCGCCCAGGGACATATGTCCCCCCCCGCCCCCCCCCCCTCGCTACGCCTCTGCCCCGGAGAAAAAAATCTGGAAGAAACACTGTACACATTGCCCTGGTTCTTGCACCAGATTAAAAGAAAACAAATGACACTTTGTTTATCAGTGAGTTATGACCAGTCCATCAAAAATGGTACTGGATATTTGGCTACAATGGTGCCTTTTCAATAAATGCTGGCTTGGTCTTTACATCATCTCATCAAGTGTCAGACTGCCAGAGTTGTTACGTTTAGGATTATTGTTGTGTGAAGGAATGTTATGATTTGAAAAATAAATGAGTAATGTGACTTAATTAAAAAATGGGTGATATGACTTAATTAGTGACATGGCTAATTGAAAGGTTGTCATGAATATCAAGTATATGAATGGGTGCTATAATTTGAATTATGACTAGCACCATTGTATTGATAAAAATAGATCTACCCTCTGCCAGTATTACAAGCAACACCCATCTTTCACTATATTAAATTTACAAACTCTGAAATCTAAAATAACACGATTTTACAAGAATTATGTAAATAATTAAAAACAAAACATCATGTATTAAACAACTTTTAATATTGCAATCACTGTCAAGTATAAAGTAAAAAAAATACATTGAAAGTCTACATCAGAAACTTTACTGTAGCCAGGGAAGTTAAATGGAAAGTCAATTACTAAACTTTACAGGTAAGTGTAGAGTTTAGTCTATCTGATGACCTTCATCATGAAGATTTTTAAGATCATCATCATTTAAACTAACTATCCAAAACTTCCAAACTATGCAGGATAAAGTTCAAGATGTAGGTATAAAAATACAAGAAAAAAATTTTTTAAATACATTTTTTTGACAGGAGAAATTACAAAATGTAATTGAAAAATCATTGAGCATATAAAAAATATATAGAAAATGATACGGAGATTGTGGAATCACATTTGTAAGGGACAAATAAAATTTTCTGAGATAGTTCTGATTGAGATCAGTATAAAATCATGAAATCATTCTTAAGAATCATAAATCAATTTTTTTTCAAAAGAAATTCTTAAATTATCTGTTTAAGTTTCGGTGGTTATGACCTTCAGTGATTGTGATATCAATTTGGAAGGAAACATTTCAGTTTATAACTACTAAGGTAACATTTTTTTTCTACAAGCTAAAAAAAATTACTAATCACTGAATAAACAAACATTTTTTTTTCTACAAGCTAAACAAAATAACTTATCACTCTGAACACCAGGTAATTTTAAAAAGTGATGCAATGGCTATAGAATACTGACATTTCATAAAGATAAATAACAGCTATAAAATGACTGAATGAGATTTAGATTGACCTTGTCACAACGAGACTCGTTTACTTTTTCTTGGGCAGGGCACATGCCTCCTCCCCACATTCAACAGTGTGAGGTTTAACCTCAACAGATCCTGCAATACCCAGAGCCTTTAGAACTTCGTTGGGGTCCACATGATCCCCTGGTGACTCTTGCTTGAAGGCCAGAAGAGCTTTACCATCTTAGAAATACAAGTTGTGTTTTTTATATTGTTTTTATATTGTTTTTTATATTGTTTATAAGAAATTCAAAAGAAATGAAACAATGATAAAAGAAATTCAAAAGAAATGAAACAATGATAAAAGAAAATCAAAAGAAATGAAACAATGATAAAAGAAAAACAAAAGAAATTAAATAATGATAACAGAAATTCTAAACAAATAAAACAGTGATACAAGAAAATGTAAAGAAATTAAATGGTGATATTTTATGAGTTATCCTTACTGAGGCATATGAGATAAATAAAGCTGCACTTATTAGATAACATAAAATAACATTTCCTTGGTTAACAAAACTACACATTTATTTTTAACTCACCAGTATTAATGACCAGTGTGCCACCATTTTGCCACCCATCCCCAGCAAAGTTTCCCTCCACTTTTTCTTTACGACTCTGAGGAAGGAAATCACAATTTATTTTTATTAGATGCAACAGATACCTCCCTGAGTTAGCAATTCAAAAGCTGGTAGTACTGGTAGCAGAAACACAGTGAAGGCTATCTTTAATCCAGGTAATGAGGTACCGCAGTGTCAGTATTTTAATGTGCTGTGTGACTATTTACCACTGACTGTAATTTTATGATAATTATTTTACAAATCTGTCACAATACCTCTGATATGGAATCTCTTGTTTTTTTGCCTGCAAGGGCTGGAATCATGGTAAAAACATTCAATCTGCCAATAGAAAAAAAATTGCTCATATAAGACTTTCAGATTTTAAATATTTTGAGTTATTATGGCTAAAATATGGAAGTGTTCAGCAGGCAATATTAAAAAAACAAACTAAACTTTATCTTCTTCTCCTTTGTTCTTAATTTTTAGTGTTGGGAGGGATCGAGCCTTATCTGCCAGAGGTTTGAACTCGAGACTTTATTCGAATTTATCAACCATGAGCTTTTGCCGACTAGACCATGCTTCCATCACAATTAAGGATTACGTGTCAACTGGTTATGCAGCATTGAGGCCATTGACTCCGATTTCAGCCTGCTTTTCTTTTTGGATTTGCTTCCATAGCCTTTGTCCAACCAAGAACAAACTACAAGGCAGCAGTTGTTTAATTCTGGAGTTGTCTCTCCTTAAAAGTGGCTGTCCCCAGCTAACGAGCCTCATCTGTCCGAGGGTTTGAACTCGAGACTTTTCGGTTTAGCAACCATGAGCTTTACAGACTCGACCACGCCGACCCCTACTAAACTTTATAATGGGCGATATTTTTGTTAAGCAGATTGCTATGCTATTAGCAATGAGTAGGATGGTATGTTAACGCTTATGTATGTTAAAGCTTAAAGTATGTTATAACTGTATAAAATAAAGTATAATAGGCTAAGGATTTAATTTTAAATCAGCTGCATTTAGTTTGTAAAATGTATACATGATAACATAAAATTAAAAAAAAAATGTATTAAGTTGCAGTTACGTAAAAACTACATTTTAAAATATCTGGGATTAGAATAGGATTGAATACAAAATACAGAATACAAAGCTGGATCAATCCTGATTCCTATAAATACATAATGCAGCAGTGACAGTGAGGTCATGATGACAAAGGTGATAAGAAAAGAAAGAAAGCGTAGGTTGCTGAGTATAATCCAGGTCACGCTAACCATTCTTTGGTTCATATGTAGAACCAGTGGCGTCACTAAGTCTGGTGTCACCCCCCCTTTTGCAGTTGGTATCACCCCCCACCCTCCTAGGTAAAAGATTCAAAGTATTTATATTTAATACTGATAATACTAACAATATATAGTCGGTTGTTAAAGCTGGATGTAGCTTTGATTTCTCATCACTGTGTCACCCCCCTCCCTCCTTGTCGGGATTGTCATTATGTGCTTGAAATAATTTTGAACTCGAATTAACCATTCATTCAACTGGAAAAAAAAAAACATTTATTCTATATATCTTGCAATATTTTTGTCTTGGTGTCACCCCCTAAATGGTGTCACCTGGTGCGGTCCGCACCCCCCACCTCGCAATGTCTCTGGGTAGAGCTCGGGGTAAATGCCGGATGGATAATCTGCTTTAAAGTAAAGTAGTTATATCTTCGTGAAACTTTTTTTGCCTACGGCCAATGGTTATACTACGAGGGTAAACTAAAGTTAGAAAACTGACCTCCTGAATCCTAGAGTCTTGTAACATTCTTTTTTAAGGTCAATATACAAATCTGAAACAGTAAACAAAAAAAAACATGAAGTCAGGTCAGATTGTTGTAAAGAATATAGAAAAATAACTAAAGCTAGCCCCCCACCAAACACACACACCTCTCCAATGATGTCACAACTATCACTCCAATATTTAAATTATATATGAAAACATGCTTGAATCACTTTTTCTTTACCCCTTAACTATGTCACACCATCACAAATGTTCTACCCCCCCCCCCCCCCCCACAAGCACTCAATCAAAGTTTAACACCTATAATTACTCATGATGTTCTGTAACAATAAAAATACTAGAATTACCAAATACATACAACTGTTTATAAAATAAAATCTAGTCTCTGGAAGCCTAAAACTGTCTTATTTGCAGGCGAGATTTCTGTGAGGATTTATTTAAACTGTGATAAAAACCATTATGGATTTAAGTGCTTATAATCCATAAACAATGGGATGGAGTGGTCTAGCGTTACAGAGCTGGACTGCTAACCCGTAAGTCTCGAGTTCGAATTCGGGTTCAAGTCAGTAGACCGTCCCTGAGTCTCTTTATATGCCGAGGTCACAGAAACAAGTGAACTCTACTTCACTTGCCCCATAGACCGTCAGGTTTGAAAGGGAAATTTTATTTTACTCCAGAAACAACATATTAATTAAAACAATCTTTACATCCCACTCCCTCAATTGTCACACACAGCCTCTCGTCTTAAATGATGTCACATCTGTTGACTTTAACTGAGATTTCTGAATAAAAAGTTTACTAAACTGCTTCAACATTGAGTATTTAGATCAATTTTTATGACAATTTATAAAAAAAAGTAATTGTGAAATTAATGAATAAAATTAATTTAGTTTTTAACATAACATTTAACATAACATCACACTTTCTGAACCTTCCCTCATGAAACAGCGCCACAGAAATCTGAACATCTCTTCCTTCCTAGGAGTATGACGTTGATTATGGATAACCCCTTAAGCAATAAAATGTTTGTCATGTTTTTACCTCCTTTAAAATATTCCCCTTTCACAAATTCTTCCACACCCAGTTCCTCAAGGCCAACGCCAATTAATTTAACATTACTGGCATCAAGCCGAGGCTTCAACTGGCTAATCTGCTGAGCTCCCAGCCTACACAACTGTCAGCCAAATCGTCGCAGAAAGGTCAGAACAACCGGTGAGTCTTTCCAGAAGGTTTCTAGAGCCACCATCTGTAAAAAAGATCTTAGAGTGAGGGCATTGGCGAAAAAATTTAAGGATGATTGTAGATACTGATGTCCAATAATAGACTTCCATAAAATAGGTGTATTGTTATAATTTATATTTATATAATATATTGGGTTGTTAGTAGTAAAATAGTAGTAGTAGTATTGTAATCTCGACTAATGTTATGGTTAGAAATTACTAATTACTATTAGGGTTAGCATGTGGACTACGGTTGGGGTTAGGGACAGGGTTAGCATTGAAATTAGCCAGCCGTGTCACGTATTTAGTTAACTACCAGTAACCTAACACCCCTCTTTTAAAGAAGATTCTATTAATAATAGACTATTATTATCGGACACTGACTGTAAAGTTGAGTGACTGTAGTCTGTGTAGTGTAAAGTGTAAAGTTGTAAACATTCCCCCAAATTTAGATTAAAAAATAGTAAATAGATTCATTAGGCCTACATCAGTACATTACAATGATTACATACTAATATTTACTACATACATTACAATACAAATATCGTCCAATAATTCTACGTACCTCACCAGTTGAGACACTTTTAACAAGACTTTTCGCAATCTTAGACGGCTCCATTGTATGCTTAATAACTGTTCGCAACGTTTTGGAAGCTAGTGCAGTAAACAAATGTGTTTACCCGACAGAATGTTATGTAAACTAAGCTCAAAGTCCAACTATAAAATCTACAGCAGTGAACGCCCTTGGCTATTATAAAACAGCATCACGTGATGAAAGTAAAAATAGCGATTTGCTTTAGGCCAAATGGATTAAGAAAAAAAAAAAACTTTCATAGTCTACATAATTTACTCTAATTTTATTTTCATCAAATAAATATAATATATTTCCATAATACAGCTTAACATCCAATATTTCCAATTTGTGTATAGCCAATTTTATAACATACAAAAGTTACAAAAGATATTGGCTTGTATTCAAAACAGTAATTCAGTCTTCATACAAATGAACCGCAGAAACAAATTCTAAATTTTGTTTTCTTTTTGCGTAACATACTCAGACCTACCTAAAAGTTTATGAATTATACGGTAGAGCTATTTAATTAACTCCAGATCTCACCTCAGTAGTGGAAGTGATAAAAAAAACCAAGTAACGGATAGTAACTGCTCCATCTTAATTGAAGTCGAGTATTTCCTTGTTACTTCCCCTGCATCGTTTGTACCATAATTTACTGTGTTTTTAAATGGTATGGGAAGGGGCTAGGAATGTCTGTGGTTGAGTATTGAACTCGAACTCCGCTTCTCCCTCCAAATATTCTGGTAACTTTAAGCAGACAGGGTTAAAATATGTTTAGATAGTTAACTGAAGTGACTATAATTTTTTAATTTGCATCAAACCAGGCTATAAGTGCATCCCCCCCCCGGAGAAAAAAGTCTGGAAGAAAAACTTCCCTCAACAGGCTGTGTGATGGACAGTGGTAAGTGCTCACTCAAGAGATGCCTGAAAGAAACTCTGCTTGTTACGGTAAACTATGTTATCCCCCACCCAGTCACTACCCCATCCCCTCCCTGTTAATTACCACACCTGTCAAAATGATTCCCTCCCAGTTAGAGCTATGGTTAGGGTTAGTTTATTGTTAGATGTAGGTTTAAAGTTGGTATTATGATTGCTGTTGGGGTTAGGGTTAGGTTTATTCAGGATGTCGGTGGTGGTAATTGACAGGAGGGTTGGGAGGGAGGGGGTAAAGTCAGGTGCGTAATTCCCAGAAGAGGGGGGGGGGGTAATGTCCTAGACCCATGTTATCCACTATAAGATCCGTATATAAACATGATGCAAATTTTACGAGTGGCCCTTATGGAAGGATCAACAGCGTTGACCTGTACACAAGTTACAACGATAGAGTTCTCCCCCTTTATCCATGCAACCGATACACTTGCTAGAATATTCTAGAGCTTAATGGGAATGTTTGTCTCCACACGCTGGTGACGTTTATCCCAAACATTCGGAAACCTGCCGAAAAAAAACACGTTGGTAAACATTAGGAGAGTGCTCATATTATTAGTGTATCTTTTAAGTTGAGAAGATTCCTGTTGAATATAACTGCGTGGTGGCGAGTTTTAGTTCAAAGGAGGGGGGTTCAATTTTTTGTTTACACATACACATACACATACACAGACATAGACACACACACACTCACATACACATAAACATACACACACATACACATACACATACACGTACACGTACACGTACACGTACACGTACACGTACACGTACACGTACACGCACACGTACACGCACACGTACACGCACACGTACACGTACACGTACACGTACACGTACACGCACACGTACACGCACACGTACACGTACACGTACACGCACACGTACACGTACACGTACACGTACACGTACACGTACACGTACACGTACACGTACACGTACACGTACACGGACACAGACACAGACACAGACACATGCACACGCACACGCACGAACACACTCACACATACACACACATATACACACAAACTCACACACACACTCACGCACGCACACACATATACACACACGCGCACTCACAGAAACACACACATACAAGGGTCGCAGCTACATCTCTCTTTAGGTGAGCTCGTGTAAGCCCCTTTGCCAAAAGCAAAAGCAATTTTACGACATCACAAATCTAACGGTTGAGATGTCACCTACCCGGTATCTGTTGCTTATCGTAAGACACCTGTCGTTTGAGAGGGGGGGGGGTTCTCAGCCTAAGCCAATTGGTGGTGGGGTGGTGGTAAAGAGGTGGCAGTTGTTAGGGGATGTGTGTTTGGTTGTTGTTGGGGATAGGGAAGTGAAACACAAAGGCTTATATTTTTCTATGTTTATTTCATCATAGTACGTGGTATTATAATAATTAATGTGTGAATTTACCTAGATTAGCTACATAACAGGGTCATTATTACCAAGATGAATTCAATAACATAATCATGTAACATCCTAATTTGTTAATTACCTAGATTAATTCAATAACATAATCATGTAACATCCTAATTTGTTGAATACCTAGATTAATTCAATAACATAATCATGTAACATCCTAATTTGTTAAATACCTAGATTAATAAGATGATTTATAGAGACCCAATACAAAACTTGTAAAATTTTTCTGTTTTAATTTCTTTAACTCTACCTCCTAGCCTTAATAACCCTGATTTCTATATCACCCGCATAACAAATAAAACGTATTAAACCCAAAGCATGGCAATTTCTTCATTTACTGCATAACGAAACAGAAAACAAAAGCAACAAAATTTTGCCAAGGGAAGCAACTAGTTATTCGTCACATCTTGTAAATTAAAATACATTAGCTCCATTTTAAACAATTTGTCGCGAAAATGAATACAGAAAAATTACAGTTGTTTTAATCCAACTCGTTACGACATACGGAGTTCCCAGATTGATTAAAGGAGAGCTTTCATTAATTAAAAAAGCTTTTTACGTCGATTACAAAATTAAGCAGGGTTTTTTTGGTAATTAGATTATTTACGTCTTGATTTCAGCCAATCAGAACGCCAGGGAGTCACGTGGTTAATTAGAATATTTTCAAATAAAGTTTCCATTAATTTATCTAGGCGTGAGTTCAAAGGTAGATGGGAACGAATTGATTTGTTTCATATGGGATTATTTTGTAGTTATGTAAAGTATTGTTGGTAGATCAAGTAAGATGCGTTTATTGAATGCTAAATACACGTGTTAAAGTTTGTGATTATGTAAGGTATTGTAGGCAGATGAGGTAAGATGTGACAATCAAAGGCTAAATACACGTGATAGAGTTTGTGAATAATAAAGGTATTGTGGGTAGATCATGTAAGATGCGTTTATTGAATGCTAAATACACGTGTTAAAGTTTGTGATTATGTAAGGCAGGGGTTCCCAACCCTGTGCCAGCGGGCGCCATAGCGCCCGCTGAACGATTCGTATGTGCCCGCCTCTCACGACTCGACGGAGACAGAATTTTTTTCATAAACATTATTTTACAATATGATTTATTTTTATTCATTTGTTACAGTTTTAATTTTTAATACGCTCCTAATTATGAAGCTCTGGCCAATGAAATGCAATGCCAAAGATCACTTTGACTTTATTATATTTTTTAATTAAATGTTTTCTTTGTATTTATGTGTTTTGTTTACTTTCTTTACGTTTTGTAAATACATTTCTCTAGGTGTATGCAATTTGAAAAAAAAAGCCAAATAATTTTATTATTTGAAACATTTTTGTTTATTATTTATTAATACATTATGACTATAAGAGAATAAGAAAATAAGAAAATAAATTATGTGAAAATGACAAGTTATGGAAGGAGTTTGTCGATTTAAAATAGGTGGTGCCCGCCACCCTACCGATAATTTAGAATGTGCTCTAGAGTAAAAAAAGGTTGGGAACCCCTGCTGTAAGGTATTGTGGGTAGATGAGGTAAGTTGTGACAATCGAAGGATGAGTACACGTGACAGTGAAGAAATGAGGAAGGGAGGTGTTCTTTTTTGATAAACAGAGAGTTGACAGTAGTATACCTAGGATATGGTGTAGCGTCAGATGTACTTAAGGACTAGGATCTATATGTTAGAGTTGACTTTATAGTTTAGAAATGTGAGGGTGGGTGACGACATTAAGGCTGAGATATGACAGTAGATGATGGAATCAGTCAACATTTGACAGCAACTAGTAAATAAGATTATATAACTATGTATACAATTTCGACTCAAATTATCGATATTTTTAACATCAATGTTGGAGGTTACTAAAAAATTTAAAGTGATCCAAGTATAAGATCTTCTTCACACAGAAATAGCGCACACTATCAGTTCCGGTTACCGGAAATCGTTCACGTACTATTTTATCTTTATACGTAACTTTTCATCCACCTAACTGGTTCTCATTTTATTGGCCTATGAGAAACCGGAAACCGGAAGTAACTCTTCTGGTTACCTCACATAATTCGGAAGTTGATAAAAAAGTACAAATTTGATAAGATGCCAATGTATGAAATTTCAACAAGGTAACGGAAATGTTACTGAATTTATCGTGTCTACACGCACACATACACACACGCAAACATAGGCACGCGCACGCGCACACGCACCTACACCCCCCTCCCACAAACACACATACACATACACACAGACACGTACACCCGCGTACATAGAGAGAGATAGAGAGAGACACAGACAGACAGACAGAAACATGAACAGGATTGCAAAAACTAAGAAGGTTATGCTTATAGAGCGTCAACATATTAGTTTAAATCTCGATTTAGATTTTCTGTACGTTTACAATACATTATTGATATTCCATAAGGGGGTGTAAAAACGACAAAAACTGTCAAAATTTCTTTAATTGTTAGTGCACGATCATAATACTTCCTCTATAATATATATATATATATATATATATATATATATATATATATATATATATATATATATATATATATATATATATATATATATATATATATATATATATATATATATATATATATATATATATATATATATATATATACGAGGAAGTAAAAAGAGTTGCGAAAAAACCCAAAAACATTTTCTTTAAACAAATTAGTGTGTTTAGGTCAAACAGAGTTTGTCTTAAAAAGTAAGAACGGAAATAATGGACTCATCATCTGTTAGCTCTGCACTAAAAATAGCCCAGAAAATATCAGCCGGAGGGATTGAGACCA